CAGATGGCACTCATTAAATTACAACAATAAAAAATTCATAATAATGAAAATAATATCTACTTGAATAAAAAGATACCATCACCATAACAATAATTATTTGTTTCTCTTAGCCCTTCGGCGTGAAGTTATCGATATTCTACAATCATAAAAATAAATGCATAACTAATTAATTACCTACTCACCACTTAAAGTAATATAGATGCAAGGGAAACTGTTGAGTTTTGATTCATGTCAATTTATTTAAATACATTTTATTACTCAAGCTTATAACAAAATGATCGTTCATTAATAAATTTATTATAAAATATCAAAGATGAAACTGTGAATTATCTAATATTCTAAACGTAAATAGTATTAAGTATAAATATTTTAATGATAGTAATAATTAAATACTAACCACTGTCAGACTTTGAAGACGCCAAAACAGCAAACATAAACCACAATGCAGACGTCCAAATCATTAGATGGCTGTAACAACGATCATGATGACTTAAGACATAATGAACAACACATAACGAATATCAAAATATTTATTGATTATCATATTCCCCTAACCCCTCGATTGTGAAATAAATAAGGAAATGAAGTAACGTTCTATTGTATAGTAGTACAGTTATATTAACCTCGAAGTATTTGTTGTGGTAAAGTTGGTCCTTTTTATTTAATTTACTAAACGTAAAATAATAAATTATATATTGTATGAACCTCTAAGTAAACTGTTCAAAATAAAAATTACTGCTTCAATTTTAATATTATTTTTAATATTATTTATACAACAAAAATAAATCAAATTCCGAGCATTTTTTTTTTGTATATAAAGCTATAACTACAAATTATTATTTGCACAATTTAATATATAACTAAAACAAGATATTTTTCTTAATATGTCTGTACAATATTTATGGTAAAGAGAATATCCATTAAATTCTAATATAAATATTATATTATTATAAGCCGCAGAAATATTTTCTGACAACTGTGTAGTACTACTTACCCGTTCTTAGAACTTAGCTGAAGTTGAAATAGATTTCAAACCCGCATTGGGTCAACGATACATTTTATTTTGCACAACTGAACAATTGTCACACTTGTCCTGTTTATTTAACTGTCATTCTGTTTGTACATGTCCGGTTATACAAATTGACCAAACTTGGTAGGAGGGTTTTTTAATTGAGTAGCTTTGATTTATTACGACATAAAGGAATACAAATTGCACAGATTAAATAATGTTGCAATATGATTAAATGAAATTCGTCGAATTTTATAAAGCTCTGTGTTTATTTTTGAACAAACTAATAATTTCATATAATATATTTTAAAGTGAGGCGCATTTAAAAATTGACTGTCATAAAATATTTCATAGAACTAGATATATTCTGATACATTTTAGTGTAGGTAATGCATTTGCATCTACAAGTTATTCATATACCTTCGAAAAAAATATGAAAATGAAGTGCGGTTACTATTAAAAATTAGTACTAGGTATATAGTGATTCATCTAAGTGTCCATATTATTCATAATTTCAAAAAATTATATTAAATTGTTTTTAAATATTATTTTCCCATGATTTTTTGTGATTGCAAATATATTTTTTGTACAATTTTTGATCACTATTTTTTTTTAAAATTTTATAACTATTTTAAAATAAAAACATATATTTTTTAATTTCATATTTAGCAGAAATGAAGAAGAATGTTTTTGGAATACTTCGATACATTAAAGATAGCATTTTACTATCCATTAATATAAAATTGCTAAAATAATGATGCATCTACATAAGATCTTTGGTACAACGCGTTAAAAACAGTTATTTCTGTTGGCTAATTAAAATATATTGATAGATAATAGGTACAACAATTTTTATGAATAAGATCCATATCTAAACAAAACTTTTTCATTATTCTAATATCTAACGAATTTGCATTTTGTTAACTTCTACAAATCTGATATGAAAAGGATATTACAACTGTCGACTGGTAATTAAACACAATTCAAAATTGCTTAATCCAAATATAAGTACCTAAGTAAGCACGATATTATATAAAATCAGAGTTGACAACTTTTTAAATTAAAAATAGCCAAATAGGCAATAAGTAATTACCTACTAATTAATAGTGTATAGTTTTTTTATAATATTTAAGATTTAAAAACTTAAAATACTTTACATTAATAAATATATACGATTGTATTATGTAAGATTATTGTATTTGCTTATTATTTTACACTTGAATAAATTTAATTCACAACTCTCATAATAGTATTTGAGAGTCATTTAGTAGGTAGGTATTTAACATAGATAAATTGTAATTAATGTTTAGTCCAATAATATTAATATAATTTAACCCATAAATCGTTTATCGTTATAGTGGGCGTCATACATTTGGGAAAATTACGTTTTTACCTGCAAAAAAGGTCACCCTAACACATTACAATATTTGAGAATCGTTAGCCCAAAAGCATTATGCTAAATTTCCCAAACAAATATAAATTTTTAAAAATTCACTCTAACACAAAACCACCCGGTTAAAGTATCATAATATATTTCAATACTCACAGATTTAACATAATCATTAATATGATTTAATTCTTCTTTATCTTATTGGTATTGCATAAATTATTCCATAATGGTAATTTAATGGTTATCATTTTTATTTTGAATCACATTTCTAATAGCATTTTGTAATAAAAGTTCTACGATTAGAATTATTGATTTTAATAAATTACACTCTTAAGTCTTAATGCGACATATTATTTTCAAGATTCTTATTAAAAAAAATGTGTACGTATAACTCGTATAAGTAAACGATACTTTAAATATGCCACCTATCTTTAGGTACTAGTGGGTATATAATAATTTATATTTATTCGCCACTAGTATCTACATATCTTAATCATACACAAACACAGACATACATATTATGTATGTATGACTTATGTACATGTAATGCAAACAAGTTTAATATGCAATAAATATTTTAATGTGTTAGTAGTAAATAATTATAGCATTCAATTTGTTGTACACTTGCAGCGGTAGCTTATTAATATTTCAAAATCATTAGTATAAAACTTTAAATAGCTACCTAGTACCTATTGTGTAATAGCACATTCGTAAGTGTGCATTAAAAATGTTCTTTATTTTGGAGTCTTGTTTTAAGATTCTAAGGGTAATAACAAGAAACTAGATTAAGTACAAGTAAGCTATTTGGAAAATACGACTTATTGCTAGAATAAATAAAAATGAACAGGACATCAATGAAATGTAAATAAAAAAATAACATCATCTACATAAAACATAGTTCAATCAAAAAAAATCAGAATATAGTTTTCTTGGTGTCACTTTGTAGGCTCTAGATAAATCCGAAAGCCACAGTTGCTTACATTCAAAAATTAAATCATAAACTTAATTTCCAGTCGACATAATTGAGCTTATTGAACACAACTTATTGAACTCCGATTAAACTTTTTGATCAAATATTCACATATTATTCACTATACAGTACTCCGAGGTCTCTTTATTATGTACTTCTTTTCATTGTATCTAATATATTTTTATTTATTGTCCATTGCAATTCCATTTTCATGTAGAAGATAACCTATATAAACAATCTAAAAAATGTATTTAAAAATAAAAAACGAGTTCAATGAAAATGATTTTAAAATAAAAACTATATCCCTAACGTTGCCTATAGATTCTATGTCCTAGAGGCTAGACTCTAAATACAGTTTCTATAGCAAAATAATAATAATAAAAATAGCCACAACTCAAACACTAAAAGCAATAAGTAGGACTACTACTTACTATCATAGGAACATCAGCTACTAGTCCATTAGTTACTATTATTATTTGTTGTCTATATTATGTAGGTAGTATTAAGTATTATTGTATTATGTTTTTTTGGATTATAATCAACGAAATATTTTTAATATAGAAAATAGTACAGTAATATGGCACTCACATGGACTTTTATTTCCATGTGCTTTTTTTCCGTTAGAATTTTTCTGGGCTTTTTTCCATGGGCTTTTTTTCCGCCTACCACCTACTATATGTCAATGCTTCTTTCGAACATAGTATGTCCATAGAAGTTATCAGAGGTGTAGCCAGGAAGCGCTATAGTGCACCCCCCCCCCCCCATACAAAATTCCTGGCTACGCCACTGGAAGTTATGTAAGTATTTATAATTATTATGGACTATTGTAACCTATCAATAGATCGGTGCTTATGTTTTTACTATTAATGTTACCTATCTCACTTATATAGCTAAATGACTAAAAAATGATGCCACAAAACGTTATTGGCTATAGATAATTAATGCTGAGATGAAAAACAAACAATTTGTTCTGAATTTCTGACTGTAATTTATTTTTTTTTTTTCATTTTATTTTATTGTTATAGCATCAACATGAAGGTTATTAGCTTAAAATATGATTATATAGTTATTTACACTAAGGGAGTTTTTACAATAATGTTTAATAATATTACTTTAATTTAAATTAAATGTAACTTATTATATAATAGCCAATAAATGTGCATAATATGTACAACATAAGTAGGTGCCGATTAGGTATATTTTAATATCAAAGCGAAAGTATTAAACATATTTTTTATTGCGTGTTCTATTATTAATTTCTTAGACATCAATATATTACCCGTGTGCCAACTAACTTTTTATAGTTTTTAATAGGTACGTGCAATAACTTATAAGGTACAACTAGTTTTGTATTTTTGAAATATTTTACGTGAGAAACGAAAGGTAAGTAATATAGTTCCTTCTTTAATAAATATTTAATAATATGATCAATTATAATTATTAATTTAATAGACATTAAAATGGCCTCTTAAGTTTTAATTCTTATTGTTATGTACCTACTTCTACAATAATTATTATAACTTACAAGCTAAATTTAATCATAATCTATTGTTTTATTTTTAAATGTGTATACAACTGTATACTTCAGGTAACCTACCTCCTTATCCTAAATTATTTTTTTCTTCCACAAAAAAATTCTTTACTGCTATAATTATACAGCAATAATTGTCTTTTCAATTCAAAATATCGTATAATACTTAACCTAACATTTGTAGATAGGTATAATCGTATAATACGAACAAATAATTTACTCAACCTTGACTATGGCAAGTACTGCATTCACATGATTTCTTACACAAATGATTATATACGAATTATATTTACTATTGTTTTTTTTAAACATCGTTTATCCATTTCAAACTATAGTAACAATCGAAACTTATAATATTTTAATATTTTTAAATTTATTTTATTTGTTTATGTATAATTATTAAGGACATATATCTATTATTTAGAACCAACTAATAGCTCATCAATTTATCTTAAACTTGGATTGTTATATCAAGACACATGATTATTAATTATTAGTACCTATACAAAACTATAAGTAAGAAGCTGTCTTGATTATGCAACTGACTGGTTGAAATTAACTCATTGAAATTAGCCATAACTATGGTAGGATCAATATTATTTTACTTACAAACCGCTATTTACCTATATTAATGACCCCTAAAATAACCACAGTTTAAAGAGTTTTTATAAAATCAATAGTTAATATTACGCTTCATTTTTTTACTCAAATATAGCTAGATATAGGACTTATAAAAAAGCGAAAAACATCAAATATTTTTTTCTTTGATGAAGTGAATATTTTTTTATTTTATTCAAAAAGTAACTTTGGTTACTAAGGCAATTAGTTACGCACTCTACTGCTCCAGTAAAATAGGTACCTACTCCATATCCCTACTATTTGACATTTTCATGTTTATGATACCTCATACTTACTCTGAGTTTATAAATATATAAGTATTTTCCGAGATACTCTAAAAAAATCTAGTTACCCAAAAGTTAACTCTGATTTAATTATTTGATAAATCATATGTCATGATATTCAATCGCCGTAATTCCGCTGTTTCACTTTCTTAAATTGTAAGCATCAATTCACTGCGTGTGCATGTTGCGCTTGAATAAAATCGTTTTTAATAATCTTTTATAATATACCTTTAACAAATACCTCTATGAAGTGTAAAATATTTTATTTCAGCTGGTCTACAATAAACAATACAATGGTACATGAAAGTCGTTTCAAACCAAGAATATATTTATCTCAAAGTCCTTCCAAATGTTCTATAGTACTGAATAATGTGTTTAAAACACATAATCATCGAAGGATTTTCAATGGAGTGAATTTAATTGCACACAGTGGTAAAATGTAATTGATCTTTCTGATATTTCTCATGTTTTCGTTTGAAATGTTATAAACCCAATTCAATTATTTTTCCTATTTAAACTTCCAAATCGACAATTAATATTTGATTTAATAAAATTTATAAAATGTTTTTGTTAATTTCTTTTTTAAAGATGTGCTATACTTGGTGAAATAAATAGCGGTAAATCAATGCTGCTTTCTTGTTTAGTTGGTGGAGATGAAATAGACAAAGGTCATATATGGGTTCTTGGCGGTAAACCAAGAACAAAAAGCAGTAAAACATTAACTAAATACACTGGTTATATGCCTCAGGTACTATAATATACCTATTATACCTACTTAATTATAGTTTACTACAGCAAGAAGATAATATTTATGATAAATAGGTACATAATATTATTATGTACCAGTGTCAAATAATACAATTGTATTCTTAATTTTATTTTATTTTTACCATTGAAAAATCCATTGATAAAATATACAAGTTACTAACGAATTTTTTTCTAGCAATTTTGTTTGTACAAAAACATGTCAGTTCTAGAATTGTTTGCATATTTTGGTAACTTATATAATATTAATTACAAATTTATTCTGTGGAGGATAAGCTATTATAAAGACATTTTTACCCTACCCCCAATTAATTCCACTATTCAAAAATTAAGGTATGTACCAACCACCAACCAGTATTAAATTAATTTTAACAATTTATATTATATGATAAAATGTAACTATTATATTGCAAAAAAAAATTAGTTTCAGTGAAAAAAGAATGATATCATTTTTAATAGCAGTATTCCACAGACCTCGATTAGTAGTGCTAGACGAGCCTACTGTTGGACTTGACATTTTGAAAAAAAATCAGTACCTATATTTCATTCTTTAAAAATTTTAACTTGACATAAAGATTTGTTCTCATTTCAGAATTTGGAGATATTTGCATCACATGATTACTACTTGGAAACCAACAGTTGTTGTAGCCACCAATAATATTGAGGAAGCATTTTTAGCAACAAAGGTTCGAATTAATATGATTTGATAAACGATTAAAATTAAGTTATTTTGTAACAATATAATTATAGGTAATTGTGTATATTTTAGATAGCATATCTGAAAAATGGAAAAATTATATTTGAAAGAAAAGTAGAGGAATTACTTCAAACAAATCCAAATAAGTCTCTAGATTTAATCATAAAAGACCTATACACCAGTTTAATGTTTAATAATTTTGATGTACACAACATATTATATTATCTACTTAAACCTACCTACTGCTGTTTCTATATTGTATATTATCACTAGGGTCCAGAAATGTATGAATTTACATATGTTTTAGTTCAAAATACATACCTACCTATTTCTATATTTAGACTTTTTAAATTGCAATTAAGAAATTAATAATATTATATATAACTGATTTTAAAATAAATAATTAAATCAATATTTCGATTTCCATCAAATAATTGTAATATGCTTTACCAAACATTAACAACCTTGTAAATTATATTTTCTTACAATTAATATAGTTTCTGAGTGAAGATAAAAGAATGTTAAAAAAAATGAATTATAATGATGGCTGTGGTTTTTTTTTTTTTTAGTCATATTGTTTTGTTTCAAAGTTATATCATCTACTGATTGAATGTTCTATAAATTGGTATTTTAGGATAATATTTTTTGTTTCATTTTCATGCAATAGTTATCCTGAGCGAACAAGAAGAGTACCTACTAAACACTGCGTAGAATAAATGTCGATAAATTTAAATTAGAAAAAAAAATGAGTTGCATGTATTTTTATCTTAAAGGATATAAAAGTTTAGCATATTTTAGTAATTTTTAGTGACTTTCGGACCCTAACGATAATGCAGTTTTAACATTACAAATTATCTATTTATATACGTGCATTGAAAGAAAGTAAATTACAATATTAATTGTTCAATTTAAATTTAGAAAAACGATTCGATCAATTCAAATCAATCTGAGACACCGCGAAATAAAAAGGTAATGCTGTTACTTAAACGAAAATGAATAACCTTGTTACTATAATCTAGGTAGACTTTACTAGCATACAATTTATGTGAAGCTAGTAGCATTTAGATTATTTATTTTTTTACTTTTAACTAAAAAATGTGTGACAAAATTAAGAATTGTTTAAAGTTGAAACATTTCAACCACATTATCAACCAAACTTTTTAAAACGATTACGTCATTTACTTATACAAATATTAACAGAATTATTTACAACTGATATGAACAAAAACAGTTGTACAAAGATTGTTTAGTGCAATAATGACTGAATGACAATTACAGATAACTTAATATGTGCTGTAACTTTATTTATAGACTATATTCATGACATTTATGTTATACAAAAACAAAACTACAATAATATTTTATAGTCAACTGGAATCTGAAGATTTATTTCCATGACATTAATAGGCATAATTTAATCTGAAATTAGTAACTTGAAAGCCTTGTTACATCAATATTATGATTTTTCAAACGTCCTATTAAATTATACGTTTTAAAAATAAATTATTTATACTTACTTTAAAATTAAAATACATATACAAATATTTTTAACTATACAGTATCATTCAATATTTTAATAGAATTACATGTTCTTAAATGTTTATATTTTCTTTGAGAATAGTAGAATACACAATTACACATAAGACTGAAACTGCATATCCACATAGATTTTGACTTTATGACATTATATAATTTTACTTCGACCATAATTATATTATGTATTATGTATTACTATATATATTATGTAGAGTAATATGAGTTCTTGTTTCTAGATCTGAATAATAATACTTAGGTAATAATAAATCAGAATTAATCCATAATCCATACACAATAATAGAGGATAACATGCATCTTGCATAATATAACTATAAGTCATTATAACTAATTATAAGTTTTCGTTAAAAATTACTGTAGGTAACTATCAACATTTTTAATTTTTTCAATAAATAAAACTTGAATTAATATTATCAATTCAAACTTAAGTAATTAAAATATTTTATCCATATTCACATTATATTTTTATGTTTTTTCCTTAGATAATAAAAAATATATTATACTAGCTGACTTCGTTAAAAATTGCTCTATATGATTCAAACCTTTTTAATTCGTTATTTAATATTCTGTGTTATGTTGTTCAAAACTTAACAACTTTCATCAGCCATCTTGAATCTCAAAATACTTGTGCAGGAACCACTTAAAATTATTGGAAAATGCTTTCTTAGTGCATACTTGCAGAGTGGTACGAAGGTACCGTTAAAATTACAAGCCTCGAGTCTCAAACCATCATTGTTTAGGCTCTACTTAATCAGTAACTGAGTTAGTCAAGACACTATATTATATTATAGATTTATAGCCATCCGTTGCCCGTGAGACTCTCGATTGTGATTATGCAAGCAGTATATTATCGGGACCTGATAATCAGGTTATATCATTATTATATTTTACAGACCCCGTGAGATGCGTACAGCGTACGTAAGTGTATAATTTTTCACTCTAAAGTTACAAAGTTAAAACAGCTTATTTATCGTTATTATAACTACGTATAATATTAATATTATTATTAATATTTAACATCAATTCATCCCATCTTAATATCCATTAATGATTTTTAAGTTTTTTACAGTAGCTAATTTTGATGGTTTTAACCAATTATAAAATGTAGGTCTATAACGACTAACACTATATTCGATCATAATGACTATTTTATTTTTTCTAACCAATTACTACCCTATAATAAACAAAAATATATTGTTATTTATTATTTGTAATTCTATAATTTCTGTACAAAATTTAAAATTTATAGTTTACAAAATTTAGGGCCACTTATTGAGATAAAATATAACATATAGATCCTTGGGGTAGGTTAAATTTCGGATGGTAATTTTGTGTTTGCTATGAGTTAAGTAATTTCAGAAATTACCCCGAATAAACGAACAAACAATTTTTCTTCTTATATATTAGTGTAGATAGTTATCACTTAACTTACTAGATTTTAAATAATAAGAATTTATTTATACTAATCTGTTAATATTTATGTTGACTATAGAATGAATTGACTTGATTCACCTTGAGTAAATGAATAAATGTTTATTATTTATTTATATATTACATATATATAGTTAACATTTTTCATCCACTAAACTCGACTCTGAAATATATCGTCTTAATCTTAAACATGAATACACATGTCATTAGTAATGACTAATGACTATAGATCTTTTTTTTCAGTTAAGTATTTGTGAGAAAATCGTTCCAAGATCAAATGTTTGGAAGTTCAAAACCATTATTATTCAAAATATAAAGTTTTTAACTACTAATATTTGGTACGTAATTTTAGATAATAATTAAAAATGTAAAAATTAAGAGGATCTCAAACTCGTAGAATATCGCATATGCGATATGCCCCTCAAAATATTTTTTTACACGGTTATCCGTATAATTAACAAATAGTCAGTAGACAAAACAGGTAGTAACTACATTTAGGTTATTAACTAGTAGAATAATTAAGAAACTATGTTTGTTTGACAGAAAATATGTTTTTTTGGTAGTATACTACGGGTGCATATCGATAGATTGGGGATTCGACATAAATTGTACTCTACAATAGTATAGAGTTTAAGCGTTAATCGTCAGATATTTTTTGGGAAACTTATGAACAAACTTATTGAGGTGTACCATACTGACTATTCCAATTTATTTCCCTATAAAGTATAAATCATCAATTTTCATTAATTTTCATTTTTAGCCACTGCCACTACCTAACCATGAAGTCAACGCGAGACGACTGACAAGTTCCCATCACCCTCATCAGTTCTGTTTTTTTTAATTTTCATAATTTTTTTCATACGTTTGACTATTAGTTTGCGTTTTTCATTTGACCGGTCATTCTGATACACTCTGTCACCTTGCACATTATACGTGCATCTATATCAAGGATCACCAATTAAGGTTTTTGGAGGATCACTTTAGGAATCCAAGAAGTTTTCTGTGGCTATCACAATCTAATGTACCTACATGTTATTCTAAAAAAGTAAATGCAAAATCAAAAAATAGAATACATTTAAAAGAAAACCTCATTTAAATCATCAACAATAATGTGACATAATAATTAAGAAAATTAATTTCTTGTGTGTGGGGCAGATAAATTTCGACCACGGATTATCATTCTGTGACTCCTAATCTATATATATATATATATATAAATCTATATACTCAGTATATATTTTTATATAGATATCTATATAATTGTTCATTTCATTCATAGTTTCGTATTTTAACTTTATATAATTTACTATGTATATTCATGAATCACGATCATGACTGGTTTAGTTTCAAAGTATCAAATGTGTAATAACCCGAAATGTACCTATACCTACTCAGAATCGTTTTTAAAATGGTTTATAATTTCCAATTTCAAACTATAGTTAGATTTAGCTGTTATAATAGTACAACACTATGCTGCGCCGAGGAGAGTAAAGAGAGAAGGTCACCCAATATTGACCGAGCAGCTATTTTTAAGTATTTTTTTAATCATGTAGTACCTATATAATATTGTATATAATACATTTTTTTTAATCTCGTCACTAATTATTAGTAAGTAAATGACTAATAACTAACAACTAATAATTAATAATTCATTTCAATATTATAAAAATACATTGATGTCAAATTTAGGATATTTATGTTGTTATGCGTGATGCCTATACTTCAAGTATACTTACATTGCATCTATTATGGACAATATCCTAAATCCATACCTATTGCAGTTTATAACCAAGAAACTGAATGCGTTTATGATCCATGTAAACACATTGAAAAGTGTACTTACTTCTCGTGTCATTTCTTATATATTTTGAATCGAAACAATGTAAAAGTAGTAAGTAAAAAGAAAATGGTTCATTAAAACACGTATTTTAAAATCATGTGTGATGACAGAATTATTGTGATTCTGAATTGTTGTGTAAAAATTCTATAACAAGAGGATCAACACTAGGACTTATGAAAGTGCCTAAAAACTACACAATAGCAATAATTAATAGTATAACACAAAGCTTGACGAATGAACGTGATGAACTCTTAAAATCTAATATAAATATTGAAATAGACATGTCATGTAACTTATACCTAAACAAACATCATTGTCACTAAGATTATCTCACTAATCAAATCCAATTGTTCCTGATTTTCATAGGTATTGAATTTGGGAAGCATCTTAAACAAAATATATTAAAAGCCCATAAACTACATCTAATTGACATTTACAGTCAGTACAATCTGTCCACAAAATATGCCGATATCCCATTTAAGGTTAGTATATTTAAATTAATAAAAATGTATTTCAAATTGTGTATACATTATACATATTATATTTATGCGTTTTTAGATACATGAATACAGAAATTTAAATCTCACTGAAAATACAGCATCCACAATAATATCATGGTAATTTGTGATTAATAATTATAGTTAAACCATCAATAAGAATAGTAACAACCAACAGAAGTATTTAAGTGGGGTTGTAAATATACCAGGGGGCCCAGAGTACATTTAGATTATGAACAGAGTGTTATGAATGTATTGATTTTACAATGATGTGTTTTTTTGTGGGTGTCTGTATTTGTGTACTCGATGATTATAGTCGAAATAATACTTCGATGTTTGATTTCAGTACCTTTTCCGACGGTAAAGTGAATCTAGTTGGTATATACAGTAAGTCAAAATAATTTTCAGTAATTTCCAAAAGCGTCATGAAAAACAAAAAAAATTAGGAAAACCGGGAATTCTCACGCTAAATCGGTTTTTTAAAAAATATTTACGTATATACATGACATTTTCACTGAATATTTGTTTAAACATTTTTTATACACCATAAGGTTTTCAAAATTTTCTGACTCATATGTATTTTGATCTATTTGGCGTATGAAATTTTCGATTATAATAAGATTTTTTTTTAAATTAATATCAATAAAAAATTTTTGCTCAGTCAAAAAACTTAAAAATGTAATACAAAGCTTCTCGTAAGTTTTTGTTAGTGTAAATTAAAAAAAAGTTGAGTGTAAAACCACAATAATTTTATGAGTGTCTGAAGTTCAAATACTAAATTCAAATTGAAAATGTACAAATTGAGTTGTATTTAAAAATGTATGAAATGTTCAATTTATATAGCTAAAGACTGAAAATCAAGTTTCTACGTAAATAGTTCATACTGTAACTAAAAAATCTGAAAAATATATAAAACAGTTTTTTTACACACATTTTAAGTTCAAACTTGGATAAAATTAGATATATAAACGAAGAATAACGATTTTATTTGTTTTTTTGTAATTTAAAAAATATTATTCTTATGAGTACTTACTTGAAACTTTTAAAATATATTATTATAATTTATGTACACAGTGACATTTTCAAATGCAATGTTTTAGGAAAAAACAAATTTAACTTACTGTAATACTAATGCCTAATATTAAAATAAATTACTTATAATAATATCATAAAATATACTTATTAATATAAAGACTGAAAGATTGTCTTCGCTCAGAATCGTTTTTCGTATACAATGATTTGATATCATTGAATTCAAATTTAAGACATCCATTAGAGTGACTTCTTTAGGCACCCAATATGTACGGGCCATATACCATAAGCACATAAATGGCTATACTCGTAGTTATAAATTAGAATAATATTTATTTAAAAATTTTTAATTTACATATAACAACTAAAGTGTATATATTTATATTTTTTTAATAATAAATAAGAAAAGTATGAATATTTTAATCTTTCCGTATAAATAATTGATAAATACTTTTTATTTCCTCCTTTTTCTATTCCACAGAAACTATTATACTCTTATATAGGACTGCTGTTATATCACCTAACAATAGCTTTTTTTTTTTTTTTTTTTAATTGATCCTGAGCCCGGCAACTGTGGCCATTAGCTATTAGTAGGTACTGTAGAGGTTTTTGTATTGATGGTTTGTAGGTTTTTGGAACGGTAGGGGGAACACGTGTGTGTTTGTTTTGGCAGAATTTCGAATGGGGCACCCGTAGGTTTCTGCCATGCCCCGGGGGTGGGGGATGGCAGCACTTGCTCTCCGGTCACCGCGACTTGTCCGGAGAAAAATGCCGCCCGGTGGCCGAGGATCGAACCGCGACCGGCTGAGAGTCAGACCACTCGGTCACCTCGTCCCCCACAATAGCTTTTATTATTACTATTAAGCATAAAAATGTTCCTGTCCGTGGATTTAAAATTCTTTGAAATTACTGATAATAATAAGTTATATAGTTATATTAATATCTTTTTTTTGTATACAAGATATATGTATTTTTTTAAATACTTATTTTATTTTACTATTACTACTTTTTAATTATGATTAATTTAGCGCTATATTTTCGTCAGCAATGTTCTACTTTGCGTTGTTATTGCAAAGTGAAATTCAAAATGGATACTTGGCAAGAAGTTTAATTGCAGGTAGTTGAGATTAAAACGCATTATTGGTATACTGAGATTTAACCTGTACCTGAGTAATAATACCCGAAAAAAAATGTTATAAGATTAATAATAATATCTAAAAGTCACATAATAATAAGCCTCCAAACTCAAGTAGTCCATACTCATTTTTGAATAATAATTTATTATTATTATATTATTCTACAAAACATTTACTAATAATCAATAATAATAATAATAACACATGAAAATTGAATTTCAAAAGAAAATATCATGATTTTTTTTAATATTCCTAAGATATAAAAGGTACTAATACATTTAACAATCAATCAAATAATTTATCAATCTGTGTGTATTATACTCAAGCCACTTTTGTAATATAATTTGCATTTTAGATTCTGATTTCTGAGCAACCGCTGAAATTATTTGTTTGCAATGAATGATATGTATTTTTTGTCTCTGTCGTTACGTTTTCGAACAGAAAAAATTCTTCAAATGTCAACTTTAAGGGTGGTTTAAATGGTAGTACATTTTGGTAATTATTGGTTATTTTAAGGGGTTAGAAGTAAAAATTCCTAGTACTTTCCTAAAGAATTCAGGAAATAAAAATAAAAATATTGAAGAAATGGGAATATTTAAGCAACACAAGTTTTGAACAAAATAGATTTTTTTCTGTTGTACAAATAATCAAAAAGGAATAACCATAAAGTCTTGAAATCGTAATCAATTATTTAAATAAAAACTGTTTAGAAATTATTTATTCGTTATATCTGTTTAAAGAGCTGAGTACAAAACATAACTTAAACAGTGAATAACAGGACATACTTAGATAATAATATGAAAACAAAATTTGGTTTGAAATAAAACTCATTTAACTATTTTCAACATATTGCTATAGAACTTTATTTAAATCATAAATTTATAAAATATAATAACATAGTATGATAGCTAATTAATGTATAAAGTAGGTACACAATCAGATCTTTACAATTCACAATTAGAGCACCGGCATGTATACACTGCCTGATTATCTTTGAACAACGCAACTTAAGCAACTGAGATGAATTTATATTGTGTTAAAAATGGATCTAAATGTCAGGAATCACTACAAGTTTAGTATATTTATAAAATTAATCCATGCACTAATAGTGTAATATACTACTTCGTAATTTTTTATTTATTTATTTATTTTTATGAAACGGGACGAGCCCAATACAAATTTCAGATAACTACCTAGTATAATCTTAAAATTAAAGTACATAACAGTATAAATTGTAGAAACATCAATACAGAAACATATATTTCATAAACACAGTGACTGGTTTAGTCCCCCAATAGGTACAGCAATCATAATACCTACGTAATTATCAAAGGTACAACTTAAAGTTAATACTAAGTTAAAAAGTAATTTTTCCAAACTTTTTAGCTTAACTGGTTAGTTAATTCTCTAATTAGCTTAATCACTTAACTAGTGAAATAATCAATTGTAACAATTTAGTTCTTTCCAGTTAATTTAAAAAAATATATATTAAGTTTCAATCATGCTTATACCTACATATCTGTAACTGTAGGTAGTTAAAACTAAATATTTAATATTTTTTTTGTTTAATCACTACTGTTTGTATACAATTATATTAAATAGGTACATAATGTATAAACTATAAACAAATAAATATGCCTTGATCTAATAATTTGGTTGACACAAAGGTCTAATTATCTAAAACATAAAATAATAAGAATGTAGTATGTATTTTTAATAATATATTAGTTATAATTTTTAAAAAAATTGAAAGTTACACAATTACAATATTTATGACCCAAGTAGTAACTAATGAAAAATTAATGAACTTTTTAACTCAGTTTAATTAATATTTTCTCCATGATCACTCTAAACGTTTACAGCCCAATATATTGTTTATTGACTGTCAACTAATAGCTTAATGTTCTTAGCGTTATTTTAATTGATCCATCTCAAGTTTATTATTTTTGGTGACTCACTCAATTCATAAATTGTTCTTAAAGTTGCAGCAATTCAAAAATATCGAATATTATATGTAATAATAATATAATATAACATAAATAATACATATCGAAAATAAAAATGTTTTACCTACTACCCAACATTTTAAGTTGACGTTTGACAAAACTGGATATGAATACAAAAAAAAAAAAAGAAAACTTTCCTAAAATTACTTCAGTTATTTTGTAGTCATTCAAAAATTATTAACCGTTAACTTTTTCATCATTGAGTGTATTATTATTTTCTATGCTCCACGAAATTTTCAACATATTTAGACTATTATTTTCACTCAATTTTTAATACACATATAAATACTGTTTAATAGGTCTGGTGAAATGACACTATAATATAATCCCAAATTATATTTTTAGAGGATAAATTTTATTTTACCTTTTTTTAAATGTATAGTATGACTAAGAACATGTTTGCTCCTGAACTTTTTTACTTCCTTTATATTTTCCTTTTATTCTTTTTCGGATATTATTAACCAGAAGGTAGAGTCTAGATTCTAGATCATTCGTTTCCAATTGGTAATAATTTTTTTAATTTGAATTACAGGAGTGACAATTTTTGAAATTGTTTTGAGCTTTCTTACTATACAAATAATATTTTCAATAGTTCAAGCATTTTCTTTCTTTCTTTTGGCTGATTTTGTGCTATATATTAGCTGGGAAAGTTCCTTGTTACTAATTATCCAATTAAATATTGCCATCGGTACCTGTGGAATGAGCATTGGTAATTATAATTTAGAGGTTTATAATACATTTATCTACTTCTATCCTTTTTTTTTAACAAGCAGGTTTATTGATTGGTTTGTTTGCTAGCAGTTCAATCAAATCATTTTATACAACACTGATGGTGTACTTAGTAAATATAATGTTGAGTGGTAAATGTTTGATAAATGTAATTATTATTCATTTAATAATATTTTCGAATGATTTTAGGTCTTTTTTGGCCATTAGATAATACAGCATTAGTTTTGCAAGTGTTTTCAAAATTAATGCCATTACCTATTGCCATTAAAGCAGTCCAAGCTATATTAATCCGAGGACGTGAATTCAATACAGAACTTATTCCTTACTCAGAAATTTTTATTATTTTTTGGATACTCATTTCATTTACAACATTCATTTTAAAGTTAAGAGACAAAATAAACTATACAATTTTATAAATCTGATAAATATTTTTTTATTTTTTATTCTGAGCAGAGCATACCATTTTACTCTACTGACCACTTTTCACGGAAAAAAATCTTGACCATTTTCCATTTTTCTCCAATAATAGAAATTAAGAAAAAATAATAATGTTGAATACGAATAAAATAAGATGTTAAAATGTACCTATATTTTGTGTTTTAGTTCTACGACATTTCAGCAACAACTGAATACCTGTTTAAAGAAAATATTAGACAGTTGAATAATTATTTTATTTTTTGTATTACTTAGAAAAAGTTCAATAATTTTTAATAATTGAATTGTCGATTACTTCACTCCTTTTTTTTGCTTGGTAGTCTTTATATTGTTTTGAAATATATAAATACTTCTTATTTTACAACAAATAAATAATTGTTTGAATTTGTTTCACAATATTGAGCCACATGAATATAATTGGTTTTTTTTTATAAAAACATCTGCTAAATATTTTAATATTTGTAGGAAAATAGACATAATTTTAGTTCAAAAAAAATGTTTGTGGAAAAATGGGATCCAACTTTTTTTTAAATTGGTGAAAATGAACAATGGGGGGAAGGGTATATCAGTTTTGGAAAAATTTTTGAATTTCGGGAAAAAGAACCCGCCAAATATTACGTATTGGGGTGTAGCAGGAAGACCTGACAAATGACATAACTTTTTTTTTATGGATAATTTATTGACTTTTGTGCTACATGCCTACATAATATATAATGAAACATTTTTTATTTTCATTTGCAATACTGAAAACAAAAAATTTTATATCTGACACAAATTTGTTTTTACAACTTTTTGAAATCTTATTATTTTTGTTAAATAAAGCTGATAAATTGATTTTTAATTCAAAATGTATAAACTTTTCTAAACATTTTATGAGAATTGTAAACAGGTGGGTGGGTACTTGTTTAAATCTAATTTTTTTTCAATGTTATTACTTTTCAAATTAATGAGTATCACTTCAAAATATGTTGGCATTTAAGAAAATCATAAAAAATAAGCCGTCTGATTAAGATATATGTTTTTACAATCAAAAGTTTTCTAAAAAGTAGATTTACAAATTGGCTATTTTGAATATTTAATTCACAATTTTAAAAAATATTGACTAAAACATAAACTATTTAATTTTTCAGGTCTTTCTGTTACATCCATATTATTTTATTCACAGGTTATTGGTTCTATGTGTCCCCTCAACGACATTTATTTAGAATTGTTTTGTGTAACATTTAGAGTTCCTAAATTCCTAAATTCCTAAATCCTAAATTTGTTTGATTTGTCCTAAAAACATTTTAAAATATACGCAGGACTAGTGACAACACTACATTTCAATACATTGATCTTATAGTTTAAGGTCTATAAAAAACTGTTTATCCTTCATTAAGTAGGTATTATTATTGTTAATTGTATGAACTTGTTTTTTATGTTATACGACTTGTTCAGTTGTTTGTATAGTATTTGTATTTACAGTTCTATGATCCTCTATGATATTATTAATTTATGATTTATATCTACGATTAAAGATATGTTGAATCGTGTGTTTGTTGTGAATTTTTGTATGAACTGAACTTGTACCTATATTATTTAAAAACAACTTAATTTACTTCTGCTTCAGTATAATATTGTAATGAATTTTCCTAAGTCAATTATATGAGAATGATAATTGTTCTTTTAGTATTTAATTAACAAATATTTTGTTTAAATTTCTTAATTTTTACTGTGATGTTTATATATGTTAATAAATTATGATTCAATTATTAAGGTGAAAAAAATCAAAATATATTAAGAAAACGCCATACCCACGTATATATATGCTTCCGTCTTACAAACAAATAACATATCCAATTGTATTTAATGTATGTTCTGAATAAAAAATTTAACACTGTTATGTTTTATTTTAGAATACATAAAATTATTACCAAATTTAGAGGTAAACATAATATGTAATTAATGACATGGTTTTTTTTAATTTTAAAGCGAGTAATAAGCATTTTAAAATTGTAAATTGCTTGTACATTTTAAAATGCTCAATAACTAGGTAATAAAAAATTGCCGACGCACATAGTGTTCCCAAGCAGTCACCCATCCAAGTACTAACTACTCCCGACGTTGCTAAACTTCAGACGATAACTGGTGTATTCAACGTGGCATGGTCGTTGGCGGAGAAATCTGGGGAAAGAATAGTATTTAAATGAATTTAAGTGTAATAAAAAATATTAATAAATAATAATAGGTATTATAATTATTATTCCTTACAAACAGTGTCGGTCTAGCTGAAATAAATAAAAAAAAGTTTACTCACTATTCTCGCGAATTGTTGATGTAATAAATACGACACCATCGCAGTTCAATACTCATATACTAATAGACAATAGTATTATGACTAGAATAGCCTTCTAAGAAAAAAATTCTAAAAGAGCCATTTTATAGTTATTTATTTATAATACGGAGAAAAAAACCGATTTTGAAATAGGTTGAATTTTAAATGTATGAAAGCAACTTATATATATTTTGAAAAAAACAGCATAATATAATAATATTCTAAAATTGTATGGTTTGCCCCACTTTTATACTTAATGCCAATCTAATAGGTAATAAAGAACACACTATAGATACTCGATACTAGTTGAAATTGTACTAGGTACCTAATATTTTGTATTTGTTTTTATAATATTGCTTAATATATTATCCATCATGCTGTAACTAACCGAGTGCTATGCCCTATACATAAGTCAATGTTATTGACTCATAGCCCATGGGCCATGGTGACAAAATCTTTGTAAAAAAATTAGAGCTACAAAAAAAAATAACAAAAAAAACAGTTCCAAGTACGCCATTGTATATGTGTAACAACCAAATAAACGTTTGCACTTTGCATAAGCGCAACAAGTAGGGCTAGAGGGGGCTTGGCCCACCAACACTACTCATATCCTCATCAAGATAAATTAGTCTTCAAACTCATATAGTATCAATTCAAAATTAATAAATAATAATTAAGCATTTAGCATAATATTATTCAATAAAATGTTGTACGTGACGTTATTTGTGCGATATTCAATGCCATTCCAACGTTATCTCCATATGCAATATGCATACATTTATAAGACGTAAGATATTCTTGTCAAGACCGCACCAAAAGTATATATAGTTCGATGACGGTGGGAACATTGAAAAGAGGCCTTTTTCCGTCAAGCGAGCGGTGAAGCGAGAATTCCCAAAGTGAAGGGCTGTAAAATGGAAATCCCAAAAAGTAAGGGGGTTATCCCATGCAAAACCAGAAGCGGGAAAACTATACCAGGGTTCTTACAAAGCATACAAATTTGGTTATGTACATCTTATATTCATATTATAGGTAACCTCCTTCGCTCTTTAATGACGCGTAAACATTTTACTTTCATGAAATTGTTTTCATAGAATAGTCTAGTTAGTAGTTGTTGCATAGATCCCTACATAATTGCATTACCTTTGCCGTGATCGATGAAAGCAGAGGCGAGACAAAAAATAGTATGTGTAGATAGGGCGGGAAGGCAATTTCAGTCTTCAGCGAAATGCGACTCTCGCCTGCGACTGGAATAGATTACTTCCAGCCCTTGCCACACAACATACCATTGTAATTTTTACTTGTTTGGGAAAGTAATTTTTAAAGTATAATGATATTTTGTTGTCAAGTTTTGAATTCGACCATTGCGATTCGCGGATAACTCTTATTACAATTTACAACCCATAATTTTAGCCATAATTAAAAGTACCTATATATTATGTATCCATCTATAATCTTTTTTAAAAACTTGGTAGGTAAACAATAAATCTGAATTTAAATTAGTTAAGTAAGACTTGAAACAAATCATGAACACTTTTTTTTTTTTTTTTTATTAGCTTTTTGTAAATACAATTATAGCTCAACAATTAATAGGAGATACAAATACAATAAACGAGAAAGAATACAAAACAAAATATAATATTACAAAAATTAAATTCTAAAGCCAGCCTCCAGAATAAAGGTTATTATTAAATTAATGACAGTTTCAGAATTAGAATTGAGAATAGAATATAGATTAGGGGAGATATTAAGGGATTTTAAGGAATTAAACAAAGTAGTGCGTTTTGAGTATAGAGAAGGACATTCGAAAAGGATGTGAGAAAGATCACAGGACATTTCTGTCATGTGTAAGGTGCAGAATGGAGAATCATTTAGGTCAAGTTTGTAGGCATGAGCAGGCAGGGTTGTGTGACCTGAGCGTAGGCGGTTAAATTGGACGATAGTTACTCTAGATAAATGGAGGTTTAATTACCAAGTTTAAAACATGATTCTTATATAGTAATATGCTCTAAAAAAAACCTTAAGAGTTAAGATATTCTCATAATAACCCTCAAGCTGGTAAAATATGCTTTTTTTACTTCAAATAATTTTAAAATCTATATTCCAGTTATAATAGATACATATTATGTTAAATATTTAATATAACTGTATAAGTATTAACATTAAACTGAAAATAATTATTGCACACCATTTCTTTGGTAAATAGCTCAAATTCAATCACACTTAAAACAATCAAACAAAATTAAACAATATTCAATTTAATTACAAACAAATTATACAACAATTTCTATAATTATTCAATTTTTAATGGACATTACATTATTTTTTTGTGTGACGAAATATTTCAACTCGAGAAATAAACAAATAATACAATATACGTATTCTTATATATGAAATATGGGATGAATATTTTTTAATCCTTAAAATATGCTGTTATATGCAAAATACATTTTTTCCTACGAATTCTGTACTGCAGAATAAGTTGCCCAGATTATCTATCCCAGTTGAGCTTCATCAAGTCAAAAACATATGTAAAATCCTAAAAATCGGCTCTATATTAATAAATAATGATAATATATAAAAATGAAACAGTAAAATAATTATTTTGTTATTTATTACGTTTATAATAAAAATAGC